ATAGATACTCTTATGAATTCATATATAATCATTTACTTGAAAATAATTGGACTGACTAAATCAGATATGAACAATGTAATTGAAATATCTTCTTTAATGCTACAGTGCTAGTTAATGATAAAAAGAAAGTAATAACTACATGAAACTGAAAATTAGATTGATAAAATAAATTAAGAATTAGGTTGTAATGAAATTTTAAAATTACATTCCAAAAAATAAAAATAGCAATAATTTATAATAAGATTAGTCGGGAAAGAAATTTTCGGCACGGATAAATAATATCAATTAAAATTACGAAGAGTAATAGTGTAAATTAGTATAATTTATTATAGTAAGAATGATAAAATTTTATGGGCAACAAATTTTGTGCGTATAAAATGAATTCATATGAATTTTTTTATTTACTAAAATACTTTTGCCGATAATTATTGCTAGCTTTTTCTGTAATTAAGTTACAGCAGAGCATATCAAATATTCAATTTCAAGGAATAAATTATATCGTTGGAGGGAAGAAAAAAAGAGAGAGCAATTTATTGTTGTACACGTTTATAAGTAATTTACAACAAAAACAATCCGTTTCATTTAAAAATTAAGTTAATTGTTGATAAAACATGAAACAGAAACGGTGTTGGCTATAAAAAAGTCAAATTAAATTTGCTACTTTAATATGGTAAAAGGCTATCAGCCAAAATTACATATGTTTATATCACTGAGAAGTACGGGAATACTTGTTCGGATAAGTATATTATTCTATTCTGAATGTGCTTTTATGACATTTATTCGTGTACACAAAAATAAACACGTCATTCTAAATACAGAACATATAAATTTTGTTTTTGAAAAAAATAGAGAAAAATTAGAATGAACGAATTAATTAGCAAATTAATTAGCAAACAATAATATCTGCCACCTATAAGAGATAAAAAGTTTGTCTTTTCTTTTCTTTTTCTTCGATAAACATGAAAGATTTCATCATTTTTTTGCTGTGCATCAAATTAATATTAATAGAATTTCAAAAAAAGAATTAAAAAACAAAAATAAAATTTAAACAATTGAACTAATTGAATGATTGATCAGTTATTGTTCATATTGATTGTTTAGTTCTTTTTATTTAATATCAAATACTTCAAAGCAATTGTTATAACAATTATTTCTTTTTACATAAACAATAAGATATTATCCGTTCATACTTCATTTATATATTACATATGCAATGGCTATTTTGTAAGTAACGATATCCGTCACGAATGTTAGTTGTAACGATATCAGTTAGTTGGTTTTGTTGTTGGAAAAAATTGATGACAATAATATGAAAAAATTTAGTGATTGTAAAAATTTTTTAAATTTTATGAAATTATTGTACAAAATAATCCAAATTTACTACTGCTATTGGTGATATATTTAAATTTTGTCTCACTTATAAGCAGCTAAATTGTTGTTGTTATTCAATTAAACTTTGATGAATCAATGCATTGATCAAATTTTGTCCATTAATTTTCACTCGTTAATATTATGGGTTAAAATAAAAATTGAAATCATACAAAAGTTGCAAATTTTTTTTTCTTTTCGGAAATTTTATGATAAATATTTTAATTTCTGATTTAAAATAAAATATGGATACACAGAAACATATATATATATGTGAAGTGTGTTAAACTGCCCATGATTTTACTAAAATTTATTCAAGTTTAAGAAATATTTTAGCGAATGGGTAAGCAAATAAAACAATTACAAAATGTCGCATATTGTTTCATTTAAATTTGTTATAATCTAATTTGCATTAAAGATACAATTTATTGCTAATACAATCTATAATCATGCAGAAAAAAGAAGAAAAAATATTACGAAAATTATTTTGGAACGATTGCTGTTTGTTAGATTTAACATGTTTAAAAATTTTTTCTCATCGTGATCAAATCTAACATATTTGCAATTTTTGTTCCAATTAAAATTTCGAAAAATGCATTGTAATTAGTAAATTTAACGCTAATTGAAAGAGAATTTAATGCTTAGAGTGAAAAAAAGAATGAATAAGCTGAATATTAATACATTTTTAAAAGAAGCAAAATTTTGCAAATTAAAAATTGTCAACTGAAGCACCACACAAACATACAACATCACATGGATAAATCAAAAAACAGACATTCATCAGTAATTTTCAAATCCACCTCCTGCCATGGATGCTCTTCTGATTCCACATTTGAATTTACTGGATTCTCGAAGCTAGCATTTGCAAAAGCATCGGTGAACCTTGGCAGTGGTGGTCGTCCAACTGGAATTTTCATTATTATTTTAAAATCAAATTTCAGCATGCATAATTTCAAAATAAAATAAAAATTAAATGTTGAACAAAGCTTTTACACAGATTCTACCTAAATGATGACAGAATGATCAAACATATTTTTAGGAAAATTTAAAAATACGGATAAATCAATAAATTAATAAATAATGAAAGCATACAGTCTGGTGAATTTAGAAAAGTTGAATTCTCTTCATTTCTCCACCATACCGGTGATTTATCATGCTCAATTATTGTTTGTAATTGGTAATAGTTATTTCCCGGATCTGTTGCCTGCAAATAATTCCCAAACATACTTAATTTAAATTTGTGAAAGTTTGTCTAATAATTGATTAATTAAGATATCATCTCATTCATGTATGAAAAATATCATGCAATCAATGTAATTCAGGTGTATTTAATTTCATTTCTTTTAGATTTTTAAATAATCATATATTTATATGTATTTCCTTTTTCCTGTAGAAAGATGAAAATTTTGCTGTTGGGAAAATTGTTGGGAAAATTTGAAAATATTGTTAACAAAATTTGGATGAAAACTTCATCAGTGAATGTTTTTCATCTTTATACAAAATCTGAAAAAAAAATTTTTTAATTAAAATTCAACCTGTTCATTTTCGTATTCTGTAAGGCCTGAAATTGCTGACGGAGAAACAGATGATAAATGAAAACTGACATTTTCATCAATTGCTGAAGAAAATGAATGTACCACTCAGATATTTCAATATTTAGAGAAAATAAAATTGAAAAATTTTTTAAAATTTAATGATAAATTATTAGCACACAAATATTTCACAGTTTGAACTTCTTATTTTCAAGAATTAATTTCCATAAATTGTATTTTATCTAACTAAATAAGCTAAAAATGTTTTTCACTCATTTAAAAATAAAAAAGCTTATGCAAGTGATTCTTCTCCAAGTTAATTATTTTCAAACATTAGAGCTACTTAGAAACATTTTAGAAGAGAAATTGAAAAATAGTTCAGAAACCGGTTGTAAGTTCAACATCATCGAGACGAAATGCTTCTTCAGCACCTATTTCCATAATCTGTGGTGAATAACTGGATAGGTTGGTTGAGCGCAAATTGTCTAAATTATTCAGCTGTAGCAAAATAAGGCTCGCTTAAAATCATTTTTGATTTATTGTCAAATTAAAAAATTTAGCTTAGAGAATTTACTTTTAACAAACATTAGACAAAAAAAAAAGGAAGCTTAAAAAACTTTGTGATTTTCGAATGATAGCGTTTTTTACACCAAACATTTTTCAGGTCTAAATTTGTATAAATTACAGTTAACCAACTTTTAAATTGCTTCTATTTTTGAAAAGAAGATGTGGAAGGGAATTAAAACAGACTTTCTGGCTCAGTTTGTTTTTTTAAATATGATAGAATTGCAGGATTTAAAGTTGGCTTGCAATCTCTCTCTAAAACTTTCATTTTGCCATTTGTTAAACCATTCTTTTTCATTTTCAGGCCAGAATCCAATCTAAAACTGAAAAATTTCATATTTTTTATTTAAAATTAAACTTTTCAGCTTTTACCTTTCAATGTAAGCATTTAACAGATTGCTTACAACAACACCTCTCCAATAATTTGATTTAAAAAAAAGTTCAGTTTAATGCTTTAGGATTCAATTTTTTGAAAAAAAATCATTACTAAGATAATATGGCAAAATTTTGTTAAACATTTTTAACAAACAATTTTATTTTTTCTTTTTATCCTTCTCATTTGAAATATTTCATGCAAGAAAAAAGAAATAAAATAAAGAAGAAAAAAAAATTAGAAAACAAAAAAGAAAGTGAAACAAACGCATTCTGATCGAGCATCCAATATGAACCCTTCCCTTTTTCACCTTTTTTACGCGGTAATTTAATAAATTGCTTGTTCAATGAAAGATTATGCCTTATTGAATTCTGAAATTGCTTCACTCATCTTTTAATTTAATTAGTAGTAGACTTGACAAGTATTCATTTAATTTCATTGTTTGAAAATTTAATTTTTAAATAAACGGAACAAAAATTTCCAGGAAACGAGTATTATCATCATTCATTCTCTTCTTCATTCATTCTTCTCCCATATATAATAATACCCTCAGGAAATGTGCTATCAATCTAGTTCCTACAATATAACATTTTATCAAAATGTTAAAAGGAAAAGAAAATAAAATAGAAGAAATTCAATTCAAATTCAATTAAAAATTGATAATACTAAAATGAATTGTAATATTTTTCTTTTACCTGCCATGTAATATCTGTTTTTCGATACCATGCAAAATTTTTCCTCACATATTCATAGATATCGCTAAGTAATACTTTACTTTGTCCATGATGACGCATCGCTAA